GATCCTCAACAACAAGCTCAGATGCAGACTTCTATCTAGTAGACAACTAAACTTAGCAAATCTGACACATATTGTAGGAACCAGGCTCTTTGGAAGTAGTACTGCACTGCTTTGTCTTAGCTGCTCAAATCTCTCTAGCTTTGCTAAAATAGGACTGGATAGCACATTAATTGAATCGTTACTATGGAAGTCCCAGTCCTGCTGTGCCTTCAGACCAGTGGATACAATTCTTCTGTCACCAACTCTGATACAAATTAGAAGTTGCTAGCGCAATGTAAAGACTGTGTGTATACTTACTTACTAGGAAGGCAAACTCTATCTTGTTCAGCTAAAAGTGAGTCGGCTCTGTTTATTCAGGTTTTTCCACTTCTCTGGACATGCCTGCACTTAACCTGCTGGTTTGTAGAGTCAGTTCTCATTACATATTTCACTGAATCCCTTGGTTTTAACAAATCTCATTCTTTACTTCATTTTTTCATTAGCATTTTGTACCTTTATGCCCTGTCAGTTTTGTATCTGGTCAGCAGAAACTGAAAGTTTAACATATGTAGGAATGAAGTAGTAGACTTTTGTCCTTTTATGGCCCAAACAAATCACTTAGACACTTAAAATGTGTAGCACCATTTTATATCCTATTACAAAGTACAATTGCTGAACACAAGTGAAATGGTTTTAAAATTGTAATCGCAGTTGCACACCAAATTTTAAACCTATGAACTTCATTTTCCCACTTATTATATGCATAATTTTGAGTACTTAGCCTCCATAGAAATTCCATGCAGCTGTATCAATTAAATATTTGCCCATTTTATTTTAGTGTCATACTGTGCACACAAAAATAGTAAAATACAAACCTCATATATGCCTTTGAAATTTTGGTATTGGGCAAGGTCACAGAAGAATGAATTATGTAAAGATAGATGCAGACATAGTTTTTATGAACCATGATCCTGATATTTTGTCTTTCATTTTTTTTATTCATCTGACTATTTTTCCCAGGCTGAACTATGAGTTACTGAAAAATACCCTCAGTGATAAGGAGAACAAAGAAATTCCTGAGTCAACCATTTATCTGCTACTGAATTCTGTGAACTAATCTTAGTTCAAGCAAGAGCTTCCCCTAAGCAGTTCATATATTTTAATATGGTACAAGCACTCAGTAAACATGATATAACTTATGGCCTACAGTGTCTTGAAACTAAAAGGAAAAGTCTGTAGTTGCACAGCAAACCAGGTGAAATCCTAGCCAAGGCTCCTGGCCCACCAGCCTAGACCAGTCCCAATAAGAGACTTTTAATGCTTCTCAAACCCACCACATTTAGAGGTAACCATTACCCAGTGTTTATCTTAAGGAGAAATAACTTGTCTTACACTTGTTGGTAACTACAGAAAGAATGTTTTAAAATGCACGTGTTTCATTAATCTTACGACATCGGCCAGTGAACACTTTTTAACATGAAAACTTAAGCTCTCTCCTATCACAGTAGTTCCACTAGAGATTATTGTAACTGCTTGGGATTGAATTAAACCTTGTGATGTGAAATACCCCTCCAAAGATTTTTTTTTCAGCCTATTAATTCAGGATTTAGCCCAAAGTGCCTTCTCTGTAAGCTTTTCTCAGAGGCACAGTCTTGATTCTTGCTTGTGTCTTACCTTTGTGTTAATTTGTTCCAACTTGTTGTGGTTTTCCTCCACTTGTCCTTTACAGCTGCACAAATCTTCAGAAAATGATCAAGAAAGACCCCCTTCCCCCTCCCCTAAGTGCCTCTGCTTTCTAAGATGATGTGTTCTCCTTTGGAGTAACTTATTTGCCTTGGGGCCACTTTCCTGCTTGGCTTAACCTGCTTTTGATATCAACCACCCAAAACCTTATAGGCAATTTGAAAGGGAAAGAACTGCTCTGATTTCTACTTGTCCATATGGAAATACATGCTGATTTTGTGCTAAGACTTCTATTATGACACCATTACTCTAACCTCCATAGAAATGGATTTGAAATGTGTCAGTCGGCTAAGCAATTGAGTAGGATGGGAAAAAATGTGTTACAGCCATACTTGTAGAGCGGAAACAATATACACTATTTTTATTAACTATAAACAGTTAATGGATCTAAAAGTGCATCTCTGAAAATAATACCATTTATTAAAATCATATTTTTGAGTTATTTCATCTTTTTAAGGGATGGATTCACATTTGTGCTTGTTCTTATTGCAACCTTTTAACAGTTTTATTGTTGAAAAGTTCAAGGTACATCTCATAATTGTACCAGGAACATGCATTTATCACTGGAAACAGTTCTGTGCCACATGAAATGAATTACTGTAATAGACATGTCATGTAATAGCATCTCATTATCCTCCCCCTCTTCCTCCTCTTTCTTTTTCTTAACCTTCTGCAATGAGCAGGTCAAAAATGACGCTAAGTGTAACAGACAAAAGTGATTCCTGAGTAAGTTCAAGAAGCAAAAAGATGCTTGCTAGAAGTAATGTTGTAGCAGTACAGTGAATAATTAACATCGTGTTCAATACTTCCAAAATGAAGAGCTATACTAGGTCTTAAGTCCTAATGCTGTTACTTTGGCAGATAGTGAGGCACTTCGGTGAATCACAAACAGGATGGGTAGCACTGTGATCTTAGGCCACTTAGATCCTTCTGCCCTGGTTTCTTCATTGCAGCCCTCTAACTACTGCTGAGAAGCAAGACGATACAAAGGCAAAACCATACTTAACACACTCAGGCTCTACCTGCTGTTCCTACAGCTGCTGTGGCTGAGAAGAAGAGCAGTGGCACTATGACAGAAAGGGGAGGAGGTGACGCGTGGGAGGTGTACCTGAGGATCAAGTCTCACCATGCAGTTCTCATTCAGCTTGCACCATTAGTCAAAATTCTAATGGGTTGACTTAGGACAAATTGTCACAGACATACAGTACAGTAAGGGCTATATTCAGTACACAGGAATTTCTGTAGTTTGGCATCATCCCCAAGATGCAAAAAACAACCACTAGTAGGGTCCCCCCCTTTAACCATTCGCAATTTCTCTTTAATTAAATTTTGGCCACAGAAGATACGGCTGTTAGCTCAAAGACTAAGTTTGAACATAATGAGTCTTTAATTTCCCAAGCACATCCTCATTATTTCACCTTACCTTATTTACCTCATTTCACCTTACCTCATTATTTCACCGTCATCATTTCAGCCTTACCTTCATTATACTTTTCTGACAACAACCTTTGTACTCATTTTCCCATCCCATCTATGATATACTTGGCTATCAAATATGTTGTTCTCAATACTGTTTCCCTAACATTGGGGTTTATGTGCTTGGTTCTCAGCAAAGCCAGGATTATCACCAGCTCACTGAATCATTTCTTTCCACTTCGGAGGCCTTGGTCCTTTCAGTATGCAGGAGTCAGAGTGGCTATGATAGCAGTGGGACTCTGCATGGTGGCTTCTAAACTGAAGGTGCAGCTTAAAGGAAGCTAGATTATTTTTGCTAGGAATAGGAGGAAGCAGGGAATTAGTCAGCAAAACCTGATTTTCTGTTATTAAGACAGCAAATACTCCTAAGTCAATTTACAAACCAAAAGCTCTAACTTCGCTCCCTCCTACTCCCTCCAGCTCAGCTGTGGAGCTTTCAAAGCAAATGGCTGCCTTTAAAGTTCTGCTCTTACTGAAGACACTGAGCCGAGAGCAAATAAACAGCTCTTCATTTGGTCTTGTATGAAAATGTTCAACTTGAAAGCAGCTCAGCCACTGACTGAAGTGCTGCTGATTGCAGTGGCTGCACTGGGGAAGAAACAAGCATGTTCTTTTTGATGTCTGATTAGGAGATGTGCTGCCACTGGGATTTCAGAGAGAAGCGCCACTTCCCCCTCTCTCACGTCCTGCCTCCTCTCCCAGGGATGCTTCCAAGGTGGCTGTGTGCTTGTCTCAGCTGTTTCAACACTCCTAGAGAGGTCTATGTAGCAGAAAAGGGAGGGAGAAAGCCCTTTTTGGGGGCAGCACACCCTAGACTTCCATATTTCATCCTACATACTAGTACCCCCTCTTTATGTGAAAAGCTCTCCATTGGCCCCCAAGCCACCTCCTTGGGCCTCCTGAACTCCTGCTCCAGCCTTGGAGTCAGGAAAAAGAAGTATGAGGGTGTATGTCTCCATACTCTACTGACACACGCATATAGGATGGTCAGAATTCTAGCCCCAGTATCACACAGGGAAGTGTTTAATGGCAGGGTACCATAAACTCAGCCATTTAGGTCCCAGCTCTGTTTATCTGTGCTCAAAGCATCAATGCTGCACTTTGCAAAATCAGGACCTTAAAAATTCCCTTAGGCTTCTCAGTAGACGAAAATGTGCAGTAGAGAAGAAAACATCTTTATTGTTAAAGAAAAAAGACATTCTAGCATTGAAAGGTATATTTTGAAAAATACAGGGTTGTCTTTTACTCCCAGTAATGTCAATGTCAAAGCTCCAATTGACTTCAGTGGGAACATGATTGTATCCAATGGGTAAATAATTGCACATATTTCACATCTCATTGTTACTGAAAACTGTTCTTCAAAAAAGGAAAATAATAGCCTGAATTCAAGGACTCTATTAAAAAGTCATTTGAACTGCATTCCAGTTGAAATCACTTTTACCAATGAAAAGATCTTTTCTATTTATTCAAAATTTACATAATTAGAAAAGCACAAGATAGACTTTTCTCTCTATTCCAGTCTCAGTCCTGTTAGTCTTGGAGCACCTTGGAGTACTTCCGAGTCCAAATTTTATATTTTCTGTGGGTCTCTGCTTTCTACTAGTCCCAGGATTTTAATATGTTTTGAAAAATTCCTCACGTCAAAAAACACTTTTTCTTGCACATTTTTCATTGTAAAACCTCAGTGTATCTATTCAGCATTATTAAACTGTTATCTCAAGTGAAATAGGAAGATAATCAAAAGGCTGGGTATTATTTATCTTAGCCATGTCTCCACGTCAGAAAATTAAGACAGTGATGAATTACACATTACTATACAAAATTTTATTATCAGAGACAAAATTCAAATTTGTTCTGCTTAAAATACAGAAGATAAAGTTTCTCATTTAAAAAAAAAATCCATTGACTCAGTCCTTAGGTAGGGTGGAATAAAAATTTTATGTTGAACACATAGCAGCCCCATATTTATGGTGTAATTTTTAAAGGCATACCACAGAAAAACATTTTTCTGGTAAACCGTAACAGAAATTTATGTATTTTATTTGGCTAGTGGTTTAAATTGCTGTTTAGTTCAATATCTATTAATTAACCCTGTAAGAATACTTCTGGTTTTATTCTCAAATCCTAGGATGCTTCAAACAATAAATCAAAAACCTTGTTAAATTTGGCATTTTTAGATATACTGAGAATCAGTTAGCATCTCCCCTCTATACGCAAAATATATGCTTTCCTATAAAAAAAAGAAAAGAGAGAAGAGCAATTGGCTCTATATAAAATAAGTTGTGATTTCAAATTCAGCAAAAACACATCACCATATCCTGCACCTAAAACCTGTGCAGAAACAGGTTTCAACCTAAGTCACTCTCCAGAAAGACTGTTTCAGCCAGATGCATGATTTGATGCACAGTTTGAAGCACTTGATTAACCCCACAGAAATCAGGGGGACAACCCACGCACCTACAGAAGCGGCCGAGTCGTGGTCAACACAGCCTCACACCCTGCCTATGTTCAACTGCTTTGCCCAGTTGAACCTTTTGAGTAACAGCCATAAATACAAGGAACCAATGAAAGCTTTGTCAAAGAAAAACGGTCCTGAATTAGAAGCTATACATGCCCGTTATGTATGGTACGTAGAGAAGCAACTATGCAATGATCTATATTTCCTCTAAATGAAGACGGCATTCTGATCTTGCAAAGGCTCATTTGTGTGAAACCATTGGCGAACTGTATCTCAACTGAGCCAGCTCCATCTCTTATCTGACAAAGAACTGAATTCCAAAGAGTACAGATTTGAGAAGTGATGGAAAAATACGTTCTTCTAATTACAGTATTCAGAATTAATCTAAGGCTGAGACAGACTTAATAGAGGGACTCATCCATTATAATCAGCATTAGTAGCTGCAGGACTCTCTTCTTAAGGTGTCAAAAGATCTTACATGTGGAGTCTCTTGGGAAAATAATGCAATTTATTATCAAGCCTTTATTTTTAATAGTATGATCCATTTATGTCATTGACGTGTGTGTAGTGGAATAGGTCATTAGTTTTCAGGGAACTGGTTTATGTTTTATCTTCTGCAAAAATAGAGCAACTGAACACCTTTCAGTAAAACATCAGACAGGGAGCTACAATCTCTGTTTTTATAAGGCTATACGTCTCACCCACACCAAAGCCTATTGTCCCTCAAACATAAAAACAACATAGCAAAATTACATTTACACATATAATAAAGCTGTCTTTGTACAGGGTAGTTATACAGTAATTACAATGATGTTTCCATTAGAAACTGTCAGAATATTATTTTTTTTCACAGAGTGTCTAAGTTCAGTGAAGTCCATCTCTGCTGAAATCTAGTGTTTGCAGGAAAAGGAGAGGGTAGTAGCCACACTCTTCACAGTACAGCATTCTGCAGTTCTCCAAACGTATTATAAAGCTTTATCACATTTGAACTGACCGCAAAGTATTGTTCTAACAAAAAGCAAAAGGAAAACAAAAAACATCCATCATCCAATATGTGCTACCGAAACACAGACACAAATATGCGAAACACCCTGTACACCAGCCCAGGCGTCACCTCGGGGGGCTGTTTGGAAAGCGATGGGTTAGATCCTCAGCTGCAGTTCACATCAGTCACTTCAACGGATCTACCTCTCTGTGTGCCAGCGCTGGATCTGCGGCCGCACACGTGCCGGCAGTTTGGCTACAGGTTATTTTGAAATTACAGAAATGAACATATTTAGTGGACTGGAACATGTCGCCGAGAACTGAGACTGCATCTTGGCTCTTGGCCTCATCCGTCGCAGCAAGGCTACTCCTTACCAGGTAAATCCACGCGATGCTGTCCAGGAAAGGTTGGGACACTCTGGCTAAAGCCTCCTGGCTCGTGACTACCAGCTGCATCACAGTCCCCTCTGCTCTCACAATGCTGCTTGGCGCCGTGTTCTCTACCAACATCGCCCTGACACCCTTAGGAAACAGTGCACGTAAAAGAAGCAAAACATTCAGAAATGCCGCTTGGCAAATTCACACTTAATTCACTAGTTACAAATCAGCCAAATACAAAGGTTGGTTTTCTTCTGAGAAAGGACGTTGGGTCTGACCCACACCACTTGTTCCCATGGCTCATTCTCCTTGAACACATCTCAGTGAAACTGGCTCCATACCTGTTCTATAAAATCCAACCTCAACTGCATTATCATGTGAGCCTGTTCTGAAGTCCTCCTCTACCCTCCACTGCCAGCATAAAGAAGAGATGGAGCTAAGTTCAACCATCTTTTTCAAAATATATTTGATTTTGAAATTCTGCTCCAACTAGGGCACATGGCCTTACTTTGGTAAAAAATCCTTACACATAGCACTCCCTTTTCCCCTTACTTCTCATGGAAAACTAAATTGCTTATGTCAATATGGACTACTTGCTTGAGTCAGAATGGTTTCACTGGGTTTCAGTACTGGTTTTAAGATAGGCAGAAGACTCTGCAATCACATGGGAAACACAGTGGCCAATTTTTTACAGTTTTATATGCAAAAAGGGAACTGCACAGTCACTAGTGCCATACAGGTTTGTACATACCTCTGATTTTTTGGATGGTATTAGTACAGTAATGACTATTGTTACTATTATTACCACAAATAATTTGTAGTGACATCCTTCTAAGCTATTTGTCAAAAAAAAAGGCCCAAGAAACTCATGGCGCATTTTCAACATTTATAAAAATATCATAAAGGAAAAGACTGTGTTCTTACGCATACTTGAAAATTGAAAATATTTGACTGTGTGAAATTAATTCTGAAGAATGGGCATTATAACATTCTAGACCTTTACAAATATTTTGGTCAATGTTTTCCAGTTGGGATGACCAGAGAGTGGGGATTTAGGTTTTTCTGCACAATGCAGCTTCACTAGCTTGACCTTTGTTAACTGTGAGCAGAAGGCAACAACAATAACCTCTGAAGACAATCCACAACCCATAACCAGCAAAAGGACCTTCTGTCCTTCCTGTCCAGCTGAGAGAAACCTGGATGGAGCCCCTCTGCACTTCAGTGATTCCCAGCTGCCCTCCTGACCTGGGTAAGCTGGTGGCAGCGGCGGATGATGCAGCCAGCAGCGTTTGGACTGCTCCATCCAGCACTGGGCAAACAGGCTCTCTCCAGGCTGCTCAGAAGCAGGATGGTCTCTTTGACTCCTTCATGCTCATGCTGACACTATGGCTATAAACACTGCTTTAGGGCAGGGAACCCGACATGGGGAGTATTCACAACAGAAGTGGTGGTATGTCAATTATACACTTAAACAGCTTTCAAAGCCACATCCCTTTGCCTCAAAGAGGAAGTTGCACATTTGATTCAAAGTCTATTTTCATTGACTTCAGTATCAGCTACGATCACACAGAAAACCAAAATCTTATTATGCGGGTACCTAAACAAAGGCATCCTCATCTGCAAATATTGTCTTCGCTACATTCTATTTAAATAATCAGACTTACTGACATTTTATGGGAAAATTATCTCTACAGAAGATTTTTCATATGAATATAGAAATATATAATTTTCTTTTTTTATTATTCTTTACTACTAAGAATTTAATTGTATGGTTCAGGATCTTTGCTGTGAAAGCACCCTTCTGCATCAGTGGAGATATTTCCTTTGGCACTCTAAAGCTCAGTGGCATATACACAACAGCCCAAAAGCTACACAAAATTCACCTTCAGTTTCCAATGTACTATCAGAATTCTTGCTATATTGACTGAAAAGATAATCAAAGGTCACAAATTTGGATGTACTTAAGGATATATTAAGTATTTTTCATCAAAATCAATGTCCAAAAACTCCCAGTTACAGCAGAAGTGACATTTAATTTCAGAAGAATGTTTTCACATTGTTCTGTCCTAGTCAAAACTAGTACCTACTATCATTTTAACAGCTATTAGCAGTGCACACATGAATAATTCTATCAGTCACAAAGTAACAGTCTGGGATTTTCATAGTGGATGATGTTATAAAAATATAACAAGTATTTTTACAATAGGCATATTGGTATGCTGGCATAACATCGTGTCTATTCATATGTCTTCCTATATGCTTAAGTAAGCCATGACAATTAATAACTGCAAAGGATCCTGAGTCATACAAAGGTTGATTAAAGATACAGGCTTCATCAAATCTCTACAAAATGATGCCCAGGGCTTGGGTGAGGTCCCCATCCACATTGGATCCACATTTTGCAGCATCTCCTCTCACTAGAAAGGACAATATTAAATCCTGGATTTGAAAATGCTGACAAGTTTGGGGTATTTGGCTTCCTAATCACAATCCAAATTATAAAAATGGGGCCAATCTTTAGATGAGGACAAAGGAAGAAAAGGACTGGAAAAGGAGAAAGAAAATCAATAAGATAAATAGATTTTTCTAAGCGGACTGTATTAGAGTTTTCCATGAGGTATCAACTGTTCTTTAACACACAGCTACGTGGAGGTTCTTATTAAAAAAAGTTTCTAAAGACATAAAATTTAATGCAGGGTGGTTGAATATTGTAGAAAACAGCTATAGTTTTGTTGGACTTAATCCATTTAAATTTTAACCTGATTCAGTGTGAGACGCAAAATACAAAGTATAAAAAAAAATAAAAGAATAGGGAATTATAATGGAAAGGCCAGCTCAACTTTAGCTATAGAAGTAATATGAGCATTACTAGAATACAGCAATTATTAGCAATGCATGAATAGTTATGTATTAACAGGTACATCTCGGGCTTGGTATCTGTGTTAGACCAGTTGCTCAAGGCCTCTAAAATATCAATTTACATCCAACACCTGCTAAATGTGCAAGACTTTCAATTCAAATGAGCAACAGTGGAAATTTCTGTGCACTGTGCAAAATACACAGGCTAAAATAAACTTTCAACTTTGGAATGTATCGTTAGCCTGCCCTTTATCAACAGAAAGACCAGAAACTTCTATGTGCTTCCTGGAGGTATGTGGTTGAATCTGTGGTGCTGAAAAAGAAAAGTCATCAAAGACAATCTTGAATAAAACTGCAAAGGGACAGACCATCACGCACACTTCTTTTCTCTGAAACCCTCAAAACAATTCACATTTGAGGGCTTGGATTTCTGCAAATTCTTTGGATATCACTATTTTGGGCTTCATTACAGGGGAGAGGTTGTATTAAAGAATATTTGGCTTGCTTCTTTATTATAACAAATCTGCATGTGATTATGTTCAGCAGAAATTAAAAATGTGACGCTACATACTGGCATTGAGGTTGAGTTTGGTCAACCACATAAAATAATACTTTGCACTTTTATAGGCCTTTCATCAGAGAATATTCAAGTGCTTTGCTAACATTAGTCAAGCCTCACAACACCCCTGTGAGGTAGGTAAAATACATATGAGGAGGAGGATGATTTCACTCAACTTGGGCATGATAATGTCTCTGGGCATTAGATTCATTAGCATTGCAACACAGCACAAAGGTTTAGGGCTTACGATAAGGCAAAGAGTTAACAGTACAAGAGCACAGGATTCCCTCTTTTTCTGGCTATATGTGGCCAAGGTAACATGTGGTGCTACACAGCACCAAACAGTGGAGCCAATGCCCACACAAGGATTTCAAGCACCCAATTCTCAAACAGCACCCTCTGAACAGCAAAAGACACAAAATGACAGGCTCAAGATGGGTATGACAGCTTAGTTACATGATGTGTCTACTAGTTCTTGAGGAGCAGGGTACCATGGGAATCAGAGCCCAGAAAACACCACCGTCTGCACAACTTTGATAATATCTGGTTTGGTTCTTTTTGCACTAATGTTTCAATTCACAACTTACTGGGGATAAGCAACTGCAACTGTAAAGCACATTGGTAACTTCCACACCCTGTGAAGGAAACAACCAGATAAAATGGCTATTCTTTATTTTGCTGGCCAATGTACAGGGCCATGATGTGGCTGGATGGTTGTGATAAGCTGGGATGGGATAAAGAAACACATCTACACATGTACGAACACATTCGTACATCTACATTCGCCTCTGAAGCTGCTGCAATCTGCCTCCTGAAAACTCTCCATAGTTTGGGGGTGAGGGGGTCTCCATGGTACAAACATGGGCAAGTATTTGGCCTGCATCAGTTTTATCCAGATGGTTACTGTACACATAGCAGTTCCACTGTATCACTGATCTTTCAGATTAGAGACTAAGAAAAAAAGAAACAAATGTATGATTAAGCAAAGCATCACTCATCCAGAATAGTCTATGTGAAATACAAGGAAACAGAAAGAAAACCATGTTCTCAGTATTAGCCAGCACAAATAAACACACCCCCACACCCCTCTTTCTCCATATTTCACTTTTCTAAGTGGTCATAAATTGTGCATCCCATATTTGCAACAGTATTGCCCACATAGAGAATCTGACCTGTCTATCATAATAAATCAGTTAATTTTGTGTCTTTGCATGCAAAGTATTCTCTCTGTTTGCTAATTTCCATGTGAATCCTATGTTTATTTATAAGAATTGTGCAGTATCAGCTGCATAACTTATTACTGCACAGGTTGGGTGATCTGTTGTGAATACCACTGCCTTGTAAAATCGCCGAGAAGAGGTGGCTCTGGATTCTGTGCAATCAATGCAAAGCTCCCCTCAGACACACGTTCACAGCTAAAACTACACTGTTCCAGCAGTGAAAAAATGTATATAATTATAATACATGGATCCTGTCCTTCTCTCTCATTCTCATTTTCTCTCTTCCCCCCATCTTTTTCTGTCTCCTTGCTCTTTATGCTGCTCATTGAAATATGGGAATATGGAGACCGCAGATACAACAACTGGCAACTCAAGAAATGACTTTGTAATCATGAAGAGACAATCTGAGGGTCGACTAATTGGCAGCTAGCGGGAAAGCTGACTTTACATCTCATACTGCCCCAAACTGGAAGCCTTCTGCATTTCCTTTTCCTTCCTTTCCTTTTGTTCACTGCAACACTGATTGTCATAGATAGTCTTTTGTGCTTTGTATAATGCCCATCTTTGATGTAACTTGAACTCACATACAAAATGTGGCTGTTATACATAAGCATGCTAGAATATAGGCAGGGACAGTAGAAGCATGCACAAAATAGTCTTTGAAGGGGTTTTTGTTTGTTTTTCTTCAACATTTACATGCACCACAATATCATGTTTGGCTGTGTACATCGAGGACTGGATTTCACAAGCATTCATGATCTTCTCTTCTGAAAAGCTTCTTGACAATTTCACAAGAGCCCAGTGTAAAAAAAAAAAATCCCACTTTTTTTTTTAAAAAAAAGGAAAAAACCCTTCTCCCTGCAATCTGATCTTGTCTTCATGATTTTAATGTTGAACACTTCTAAAATGTCTCCTCTTCCTCTTGCAGAGCTTCATGTTAAATGGTTGTCTGGAAAGACAGATTAGTGTGTCAAGGATTTTCTTAACCACTGGAATAGTTCTTCCTTATAAAGCCTTTGCCATCGCACATTGGCTTCCACTGTTTCCACAGCACGAGAGAAAGAGGCAGCAGCTCCCTCTTCGTAACTCCTTATAAAGTTCTTTAGCTGGAAATACAAGTTAAGAGGTTAAATTTGCAGAAACTAAAGAAAATAAATATTTCCAGTGTACACAAACCAGTCGGGCATTTAAGACAAACCTCCACAATCACTGCTGAAGTAAATGTAGTATCGTGTAGAACGATGTATTAAGAAATGTAATAAGACAGCAGAATGTCAATTAGATGTGATGCAATTGCTTCAAATTGCACTGGAAGATATTGACATGTCAGTGCCAGATCACATTAATATCATTACCTCCTTCTCTCCTGCAGCCCAGCTGCTGCACTGCGTAGACAGCTGGGCTGCTCTAAGCTTTCATTTCTACCTAAGAAACCAAACTGGGAGCACTGGAAATGCTTCTAATTCAAGTTTATATGTAAATATCAGCAGAAGGCAGCCTTGATGCCCTTTGGTTTTATCAAGCTTCACAACAAATTGATTTCATTTTGATTTGCAGAACCCTTTTGATGATATAATACAGGCTGGTTGTTTAGAAAAGGAAGGGATTGGTACAGTGCGAAGAGAATGGCAAAATAGCAAGTGGGGACTCATTTGATGATCTTTGATTGCCTGAAACAGATTCCCTCCCGTATGAGAAAACTTTGATCTTTTTCCAGCAGACTGAAAAGGCCTCTGTTCTGTTCTTGTGTATACTCAAATTATAGCACTATCACCTGGATTATTATAGCTGATGGCACTGGTGGGCTTTGAATTACTGTTCTTTTAAGTAAGAATTGCAAGGCTGATCTGCATAATACGTTGCTGGTTATGTTGACTTGTATAAAATAAGTTGGTTTTAGCAACACTTATTCATAACCAGTTAATTTTTGTTTCCTGGTGATGCCAAATTCACCTTGTTCATTTAAATCTAACTTCCAACAACATGCCTTTGTGCATAGGTCCAAAACTGAAAAAGCTGATCCTGCAACTGTCTTATTCCCATCACAATTAAAAGCATGGGAGGGAACTGAAAACTATCAAAATCGGACTTTACCTGATCTCTGTACTTTTTATACCAAAATGTTTACAAGGCTAGTTTCTTTTAGGCAAAGTATAAACAGGCAGCCTGCCACCAACTAAGAGTACGGAAGGCTTCCTTGTGCTGGGCAGATATTCCAATCTGGCCAGCACCGTCCTTCCCACCTGGGTTGCTTTGAGGAAACCAGCTGCAGCTCTTCCCTAAGTTCCTGAGGCCACTAGACTTGAGTGCAGACAAATGGTTGGACACAAAATATCATAGCACAATCAGAGTTCAATTAATGCTGATTATGCTGCATAAGAATCATTTGATCCATTTGGGGTAATGCTGAGCAGCTGCTAAGCAGAGCATAACACAGCCGCACAACTATCTCATTCAGGGCAGATGTTAAGTTAAAATGAGAAATCTTTGCAATCTAAGTAAGAAGTACTTCGCATTTAGAACAAATTATTGTGGTGTCGTTTGGCCGGAATATTGGGTCAACAGCTTTTCTAACATGGAAATAGTGTAGGCAAAAGAAAAACAGAGGAGGCACTGGCAGCTTCTACTTTCAACACTGGGATTTTCTAGGTCTGCGCTCTGCGGCATAAAGTAATGTGGATAGCAAGATTTCATCTTTAGTTTCTCAAACAATAGTCAGAAAAGAAACAAACCTACATATCCAGCCAAGCACAGAGAAGTGCCTGCACTGCCCACCTCCTGACACCACCTCTACTCACTCAGATGCCTTTCCAATCTGCTCCTCACCCTCATGCTGCCAAGCTTCAGCACAGGCCTGTGACTCCAGCTGAGCAACCAAAGTTCCTGGAGAACTGACACCCTATTGCTCCTGCCCCACTCATTGCTTGTAACAAATACAGCCTCACGTGCCAATAGTAATTTAAAAATTACCTCTCTTAGTTCTTCTTCGGTATTAAGGAATTCTGTGACCCCACTGATAAGCTTTGAATTCATAAATAATGCTTCTCCATACCTGTAAGGGCAAAAAGAAGATGCACAGAGAGTTAGAGCCAGTGTCAGGCCAGCTGAAAATTAGAAAGTATTCTTCTGTAAGCAAGGGAGAAGACATAGAACTGGTTCTGGGGCTCCAAGGAAATAGCACTGGAATTGGACAGTTGTATTCCAGACCTCCTTCTAGGCTGAGCTATCTGTAGTTAACTTTTAGTCAGATGCTACTAAGCAGAAGAGGCTTAACTGCAGCTGCAGCTGAGAGCTCCAGAGGCAGAGAGGACCAAACCACACCACCTCCCACTTAATGCAACAGCTTTCCATGTGATGACACCAAGCAGCTCAAAATACAGGTGCCAAAGAAGGAGCAGAGCAGCAACTAGGGAGAAATATTCTGAGGAAACCTTCTAGCTGTACCATTAAAACAGACCTTTTGAAGTGCTGCAGCCTTCTCTGCATTTTGTATTCATCCATCTCATCTACATTACAAATAGCCTCTCAATAAGTGAACTGAATCAAATTTTCTTGTTCCAGTACCTGATAATTAAAATAAATAATACTGATAGAGAATAATACTGCTAAAATAATCCCCTGGGCTATGATGTAGCATCTTCAAAGAACCAACCTGGAATGAAAATTTGAAAGCTTGGGCAAGGAATATTTGAAGGGTAGGATATTCAGCAGCAATCAGCAACGACCTTCTGCAGGTAGTTGCTTTGAAACTGGCCATTTCAATCCTCCTGTTCCTCTTGCTTTTCCACAAGCTTTTTTAATCCCACAAATGAAGCATCTACACCATTTATAAGAATAACCAGACTACTCCTGAAGTTTTGCATTTCATGTTGGAACAGTTTGTGGGTTGTTTGTTTTCTCACAAAGTCTCTAGCATGAAGAATATAATTCCATTGGAAACCGAAAACAAGTCTTTTGTTCAAGTTAAATGTCATTCAGCACAGCAAAAGGCACTTGACAAATAGTTATCTTTATCTGCACATACATCCAAAGCAATATCTATCTAATCTGAACATGACTGTTTTCAAGATAGAGAATCCAGCTCTCCTGTCAGACAAGTGCAAGTAATATCAATAGACTTCACTGCAATTAAGTTTATCTGGGGGAACAATTCAGGTCATACCTTGCTTTTCAATTCCGCCTCTAAACCAGATTTTAAATTCAAAGTGAAATGAACCAGCACAGTCACAGCTTTATGTTCTGCTTCTATTAATCCTAAATTAATTACCCTTAAATGCTTAGGTACTGTAAGCCACAGTCCTTTCAAAAGGGAGAAAGAAAGAGAAAGGGAGAGGGATAGCCCCAGGGAAAGTGATAGAAAGAGGGAAGACAACAGGGCTTTCTTTGAGAAGATTCTGTTTTAGGTAAGTTGTACACTGCCTTGCTTGCTACCTTGAGCTTGTGTGAGGGGAAATACAGTTATAGGTATCAAAAATCCTACTCCCTGACCACTAATAACTGAATTATTCATGGATATTTCAGCAAATACATCTCTTTTTCCAAAACTTCAGTCACACTGACATAGGCACACTGACATCCAGAGGCAAACGCTTCCTATGGGAAGTATGGATTTCATGGTCCTTTAAGCACGTTTAGGCTTTCTAACAAAGCCCTTTGTTATTACAGTCTCAGCTTAGTCTCATAATTGACTGCTTGGAAAATTGGAAGCTCCTCTTGATGAGGTCTTTTGACAAGGTTACCAATCCACTTTACAGAAGTGACCTCATAAAAACAGCTGCAGGGATTTTATTTTTCTTGCAGCCTGTACTGTAGCCACATTGCAAACAACCAGTAGCAGAACTCCCTCCACTGAAAATGATACCTTCATCAATTCCTGTGCTGATTATTGCCCATTACACATACTTGAAAAAAGTCAGCCACTAAAAGCAATTCCTAAATGGGCTCTGCTGGTAAAAAAATTCCTTCACAGGAAAGACAACAGCACCACAGAACCAGGACCTTACACGCCTGATCTCTCTGGAAACATCCTGGAGTCATGGGCCCTCCACCTGCTCCTTTACTTCTGGAGTTGAGAACCTCCAATGCCTCACATTTGTACAGGCTTTGCACTCACGTGGACTCAAACTTGAGAAGCAGCATAGTCTTTGGACAAATGTAAATGGCTTCCCAAATATTGTCAAATTCCCAAGTGCTGGAAAAGGATTCAGCACTTGAGAATAAAAGAATTCTTATAGGCAGCTGTTGGATTAAATTTTCACACACAGATGCACACGTGCATACATGATGGGAGCCAAGGTAGTGCATGCTCACATAACCGAGATTCAAGCATAGCATTTTCAATTATCATTTTCAGATTTTTAGCACTCTTAGTCCCACAGATTTCTTATGAAAGACTTGTTAGGCACGTAAATTTTTAAGTCTCCTTTGTAAACGAGATGAATGATTTTGAAGATATGTCTTGAAGATATGTTGAAGATACTGATATGTCATCAGTATCTTCTGGATAATTTGAATATAAGCACACTGTAAAATATAAAGGGATAACAATATTTTGTTGTCATTCTAACTCTTTGACATGCTGTGTTTGAAAGTCAGAGGAAATGGGGTTATAGTATAATTTAATCACCCTCAGTTATTTCGTATTACTATCTATCTCAAACGTCAACACCTTTTATAATAAATTCAATGGAAAGTACCATTGAGATATCATCTTATTATCACCTTAGTATTTTAATTTTAAATAAAATTAAATAATAAATTATAATTGTAGAAAAATGTTGCCTTGGGACAGAGTATACTTGAACTATAATTCTGCAATAAAGCTTGCATTTTAAAAATGTATTAGTGTAGAAAGCTTAAATCAGAAGCCTAATTTTGCATTCTATAATGTCACTGTTTCACTGAACATTAAGGGGCAAGGTGTTAGACTAATTCCATTCTCTCAAAGTCCCTCTTAAAAGGTTTTAATCTATAATTACAAAACAAAGTTATTTTCAATATACATCAGGTATGTAGAGCTTGCATGAACTACTTCATTCCACTGCATTGAATCTTTTGGCAATTAACAGATACTCAACTGTCCCTTTCAGAAAAATGCAACTGCTACAAACCTTTTGGTGGCTCTGACTTTGTTTGGAGATCAAGTTGAATGTAGATAACAAAGTCAGTGTTGGTCACAGAGACAGACTCTCTGTTACTTTCTCCTTCTAAAATAGGGCAATAACGGGTTTTTGATGAGGCCTTGCTGATTGTTAGGAACTCAGATCACAGTGACACATTCCAAGCAAGACAAATAGAATTCAAATTTTAGGTGAAGTTAAGCTACGTAAAATTAAAAAACACAAAAAATTTGGCACGTGGCATAGTTTTCTAAATGTTGTCCATTTGTCTACACCACTTAACCCTGTCCATGTCTAAAATCACAGGTGTTAGCTAGGCTGTCAGATGAACATTAGCTAGGATATCAGGCAGGACACTACTTCTGCATACGTGCTTGTAGCAAAACAGATTTTGAAAGTTTTATGCCTAAACTCTGTATAAATCCCTGGAGGGACCTGTAAAATTATTTGCTATCCAGAGCATAACTAACTGCACTGGGTTGCATAATAGTGATGGGTCTGCCATCCACTTTCTGTGTAAAAGTCCAGTTCCTGGAATAATCATAGCAGAAGCAGAGGATTCTAGATTTCTAAACTCTTTGGCTTTTTGGAAATTGCTTTGAAAAAGTATGCTCCTGCAATATAAACTTCCAAAACCAATTCCAGCTCAAACCTATCTTCTCAGCTGAACTTCTTCAAAAATCCCACTATACTATAAAGTATTATCCAAACCAGCATGGACAACTTTTTGAATCTTTAGGAAAGTTGCAGAGTCTCTGAGTTTCCCTGACTCTTCTTTTGATGATGTGAAACCTATAATAAATTTGTACCTGTATTTATCAGGCACTATGATTTAGTTGCTTAAATATATCAATTTAAATATACCATTTCAAATATTCTGTGGTACACTAGATGGCTCGTCACAAGTCCAGAATGGAACAGGTCTCCAATACTTTTTTCTGCCAACACCATGGGAGTGGCCTGGCATGGGGTGTCTGAAGTTCTTGGACACCTGCCTTTACAAACTTGAACCTCATCTGAGCTGTAGTCCCATCTAATCTGTCAGTATCAGATGAGCTGCTATGAAATCTTTCAGACCCTCAGGCTACCCCTAAAGAAATTTCTCATTCACTGAATTAATACCAAAATCTTAATCAAAGGATTTTAAATGCTGACTGGGCTTCTGAGTAGAAGCATGTAGCACTGTTCAAAGAGAAAGAGAAGTAGCTATAAGAAACAACCCGGTCTCCTTCCTATTCTCCTATTTTTAATTCAAAATGTTGCTCCTCTATTACTTGAAACTCACCTGAAACACAGAGTGGAAGGAAAGGGGAAGACGTTATATTAGCATCCTTTTGAAAATGGAAATGTTTCAAAAAGGGTTTAGTGTTTTTTTCCACAGCTAAAATAATGTTATTGAAAAGATTTTTTTTCACTATCAGACTTAAAAATCAGCAAAATTCCTTTGGGAACTGCTGCTTTTTTATCTATGTAAAAGAAGAACTGCAGCACTTGATATATAGATAGAATTCATTATCATAAGCGCAGACACAATACAGTAATATATATACACAGATGATCGCTAAGAGATAAATGTTTCTATGCATGTGTGTGATAAACCATGAATAAATGCATTTATGCCTCATATGTACGTATTTCATATTTAGAGCCATCTCTATTTATGGATTAGAAGAGAATGGTCTAGCTTCAGGAACTTACATGAATACATACATATACAATACTTGCACAAATTACATCAAAATAAGAAAATGAAAATAAATTTGGACTTTTTATCTTTACCTAGCATTTAGTATTTTCCACTTTTCTCTGAAAAACTTCCAAGCAAGATCCCTTCCATGTGGATTTCGAGCTACGTGGATTATCACATCAATTGCATCCTGATCCAGGACAACTTCTGAGTTGAGAGACAAATTCAAAAGCCTAGTGGGAGAAACAATGAAAAAAAATCTTATTTAGTTTCACCAATGCATAGTTTAACAACCGCAGATGAGAAAATTCTCAGAAAAAAAAAATAATCGCTGCCAAATATTGTGTTTAAGTCTCCACATGGGTTCAGTATTTTATTTCTATGATTCCAAAGACCAGACTCATTAATGAATCAGAAAAATCTTGATATAAAAGGATTTCAGTAAAAGCTGAGTAGAACTTTACATCTGCATTTTTATGAAATCCTTAAGATCAGACTGGTCAATACATTTAAATAAAAGATATGCTAACAAAAAAATAACACCAATTATTTTAGGATTTCAAACACTTTCAATGAGTATAGGAAAATCTGGAAGTGAAAAGACATAGTATGTGTCAATTTTCATATGCATTAATGCAAAAACATAACACAGTTTAAACAGGCAGTAAGCCCGTGCTTCAAAAGCAACATTCTTTCAATTAGACCAAAGTTCAAGTGATGATCCATAAATGTTGAAGTGATAATTGGTAATAGTCCGATACAGATATAAAATATTTTTGTACCTGTTGAGCAAGTTTCTGTCATCACTGCAAGTTAAGGCTTCTAACAATATTTTCTTCTCAGACACTGCTGTGGTAGAATGAAATTTCATCCAAATGAACTCCCATACATCTTCATCCATCAGTGAAACTCCTGTACAGTAGACAATGTCTCTCACATTGAGTGGGATTCTACAAAAAAAGTCAGAAATAGCACTGTGGTAAATAAGCAGTCTCCTGATATTGGAAACAAAGTAGGAACATCACTACATTTATAAGACTCCAAAATTAAAGTGCATCAGTAATCTTTTTTTGAAAATTAACATTTGCCTCTCTTTACTGCCACCAAAATCTTCCAGGAGATCCTAATGGATTTTCAATGGCTAACACATGCTTGCCATTCTTTTCATAATGCTGTCACATTGTCAGGAGACTATAAATTATGGTCATCCAGTTCATCAACACAGTATGTGCCACATAACCTGCAGGACAGGTAACATAAGCTCTCCAAATTAGCACAGGATCTTATCACTGTTGCTGGGCTCGAAGCCAAATCTCCTCTTCTTGTCCTTAGTACTGAAGTTTTAGAACAGGAGCTGATTAGCCAGAAACTCCCCCTTGCTTGTGCTGTAAAGTGCTCCATCTTCATATAGTAACATGCAAGTAAGGAAGGATAAGCATGCTGAGACAATGCAATTTAAAAATTGTGGGTTTAGGAGTGAAGAAAAGAGAAAGATCTGTTTGTTTGTGTCAGCAAGTTACTAGCAGTACAAAACCAGCTATGCCATAGGATGGTTGTGAACTGTGATTACTGTTCAAGAATATAAACTCAGACTACAGTTATATGAAAGCTTCTTAAAGTCAAAGTCAGACCTAGTACAGGATGTGCCTATATACCATTTTCTTCTATAAAAGATTTCAGCCAGGCCTTCAATTTCCTGCCCTGCTTATTGCATTTGTGAGCTAAAGGGTATTTCTGCAGATAAAGCTGAACATTACTCAGAGGAATATGTTTCTGATTTTTAGCCTCTTTTTGTTAGTAAAAATTATACCAAAACACAGTTCTCTAGTTTCTAATAGCTGGGCTGAAACAACTTTGGAACTTCATAGGCAACACCTAGAAGTACATACAGCTGCTGTCAGTGTTGCGGCAGTAATACAGCGGGACAAAGAATGAAACAACCTCTGCAAAATTTGGTATCAAATTCTCCACAACACAGAAAGAAAAGATTACATCAATAAGACTTTCACCAAGGTCCTATACCGTAGACTGGGTTATCCCAGTCAAGAACAAAGAGATTCTTTTGCTCCCATCTATTCATTCTCCAAAAAAAAAAAAAAATTCTTCTGTTGAAATTTTCTATCATTGGGCTCTGTGATGGGTGTTTTTGTTAAAAAAGCTTCAGCTGATCTCTTTGGCCATGTCCGAGTCCCGGAAAAACTAAACCACTGTGGTTTTTCAGCATTTCAAAGTTTTGGTTCCTCTTTAGTACTTCGGAAGGAAGCAGATAAGGTAAGAAACTGTGTATTGGTGACTATGATGGGTTACAAACTGTTGTTGCCTCTATGGGGTTAGTTGGTCCCAACATCTATGATGGTTCCTTGAGAAAAAAAGGAGTAAGTAGCTAAATTAAGGTAAAACTGGGAGGCAGGGGGAAGTGCACTCTTCCTACTACTGGCTGAAGAACTTTGGGAAATTAATGCCTACTGCATTTTTGTTATACTTTTTCTCAGTAGTAAAAAAGTCCTGAGATTGAGTTTTTATTCATGTTCTCTTGCAAGTGTAGTCATCAGCTCAGAGGGGGTATCTGCAGGTTTAGATGCAGACAGCATATGAATCTTGCTCCTGCTGAGCTGACATGGCTCAGGATAGTTCTGCTTCTTGGAGATTTTTTAGCAGCATCCCACGCTAACAGAGCCACAAAGAGCTGCCTTGACTAATGCTGAGATATTTTGCATTTGATGCAGACAAAGCCAGACATTTATTCGGGAGTAAACTATCCAAAGCAAAACTGAAAGGGTAGGCAAGAGAAATGTAATCCATTTTAAAGTTGCCAGGAATATGAAACTTCTAACTACGCGCAGCACACACTAGCAATATTGCCTTCTAAAGCAAAATCAGTGTTGCAATGTCTCCTATCTGCCATCAACTGCTTCCATCTAGCCAGGGTAGATTGGTACTACTGTGCAGATCCTGGCATGGTTCAAAATCTTACCATTTCTTCTCCTCCCACCACCAAATCGCTGTGTGAGAACATGCCTGTCCCAAGCCATGCCAGACCATCAGCATTGCTATGGTTATGAGCACATAGCTCAAGCAATTCCTACACGTCACCAACACATAGATGAGACCTCCAAAAAATGCAGGTTTTACAGTCCCTTCCCCTTGATGCTTCCTAGTACCTTCTTGGATTTTTTTTCCCCTCAATGTTCAGATCACCTAAAAAGCTTGGCACTGAAAAAAGTTAATAATTCTCCTCAGTTTTATTCAGGATCAGTAGGTTTTGGCTTATGTATGGTATATGCAACAGTTTCCATGGTCCCTATAGAATTGCTACTTCATGACCAAGGTAAATCAGAAAATCCTTAAAGCTGACCAGATCCATTAAAAGAAACAGTTTTTAAACATACACAGGCACTAAAGAAAAAAAAAAAAGTTATCACTTTCACCAGCCTTTCCATACTACTAAGTTTTGATTCCGAGTTACAGGACTAAATTGTAAGTTTGGTTGACATTTACAGAATTATCCATATGTGCTAGGTGCTGAATTTCCATTTCACTGTAATGGGATTTATACTTCTCACTTGAAAGTCTATCATTAAGCGCTCGTTGTGATATTTCAAATATTAATGAATATCAACAATTTATTTGTCCCCCGTTTAACCTTTCTTTCAAAAAGTGCATGCAAAGGAAACTGCATATAATTGAGTTCATTAGAGAAAATTAAGACTACATATTTAAACACAAGAAATCAAGACACACTAAAATTAATGAGGCAGATATTTAGGCACTGCCTTTGTTTTGGCTTATATTAACTTAGAATGAGTCTTAAAGTTTTCTAAATAAGTGCAACTCTCAAAACTTCAGGTCAGCAATTACAGTAACATGAATATGCAGCCATATACATGTATGCTGCATCGAACATGAAAGGGATGTTATCGTGTCTTAAATTTTGATATACTAGGTTATTTGTCCTTAAAGCACAACTTCCTTACCAGCTTATGTCTTTTTTTGCTTTTCATTTGGGATTTAATACACTGACAGCAGCCATAAGAACATATGCTAAACCAAAAGGACCAAGAGAAGCTATCCTGATTCTGGCACCAAAAAGCCCATTGCCCCAAATCTGTCTTATCATATGATATCTGAATATGAAGAACAACTGAATCCAGTCAAGCCTTATTTCAATGAAGGAAGGACTTTATATCTTGATACACAAACACTAAATCATTTTTTTTAGAAGCACACATCGTCCTTTCTGAGCTTTGCTGGCAGAAATATTATCTTTGGTTTACTGCAAGAGATGCGACTTAGCCAACAGATACTCTAAGGAACTATAAGGCAGCTGGAAAAGGTAATCCTATTTTGTTTGATTGCCCCATTAATTCAGGTAGGAACTGTGTGCTGGAAGGACTGTCACTCTGTTTGTCTAGTACATCAGCAACAGAGGTTCCTAGAAGTCAATGTCTAACCCCAAAAAGGTCAGCATTCCTCACTTGTGAGGTTCACATTTTTTAAATTTACAATAAAATATATAAATTCAATGGACTTTCCCAGCTACTCCATCTTTCACACCCTATGTGTCAACATAAACGATTTGAGCAGCAGTGCAGTCAGGAACTGCAGGATCATTTGCATCCTCTGGGAAGGAAGAAGGCACTAAGCCCATGCCCATAACCTAGACCTCACTCAATTTCCACCAAATTCATAAGAGCATACTTGCAACACTGCAGCAGATCTAAATATCATCCAACCAATAGCTCCAAGGAAGGTTTTAGGTCTCTATCTATAAGCTAAGTCATTAGGAAAACATGAAAAAAAATGTTGTTCTAAAATCACAGTTCCAAGGCACTACATCAGCATGTGGAATGTTTGCCTCTTGTATTAACTGAATCAAATGGATAAAATTACCAGTTTCAGTACCGGTTAGGTAGTAACACTGCAGAACATAGCCCCTTGTTACACTAAACTTCAGCTGGGCCTTCAAGGCTGCTCTCATTTTTAAAGAGCTAACATGATTGATGGATACTTCAGAAGAATAAAGATAAAGATTAACTTTTGAAAGCATCACTTTAAATGTCTTTTATTTGAATACTGATCCAATTTATTTAACTTTATTTTTCTTGCTTAAGAGATATGATGGTGAGAATGAAATATGTAGCTAGCAGAGCTCATGTTTAAAAATTAAACACTTTGGGAAAAAAGTTAAAAATTAAACAGAAAAAAATTAATTAAAATCGTGCTGTGCCTTTACAGGGATTTTTTTTTTTCAAGAGTGAATAATAAAGCTCTACAACGAGCTAAGAATAATCTTCTAAGTTATAATTAATTGCTACATACTTGCTCCTATTTAAAGTATGTTCTAACAATTGGAGATACACTTATAAAATTGGACCATAATTATTTATCTTCTGGGCAAACTGTGTTCTAATTTTTTAAAATGTAATTGCACACAGTTTAGACAGTTCTTTGATTAAGTGACAAATTTCAATACCATTTAGGGTACTATTTCACAAAGAAAATTAATCAGAAACATTATTCTTTATTTTCCCAAGTATTTAACATTTAACTTAAGCCTATTTTTCTTGATGACTATATTTATAGTCTTATTTAATAGGTTACAAGGCTCAGATAAGAAATAACAATGAAGCATTGGAACTTTGTTGGCAGATGTGTAATACAGATTGTGTAATAAGGAACAGCATGACACAAAGTTCATTTTTTAAAGATGGCAGTCCCAGAGTTTATACTCCCATAGCACACCCCCAGCCTGAAAAGAAAGGGCAGAATTTCCCTTTGAAAACTGAGGCACAGAGCTGTGGTGGGCTTGGCATTCAAGTGCCTGTCAAGCACTGAATTCAGGGGGTATTAACCAAGGATGTGGCTACTATTAACCAAGGGTGTCTGTGGCAAAGCTACGCACAGACACCAGGGCTTCTTAGTCCCAGTCCTGTGCTTCTGAGCTTCAGGA